GACGTCATCGCCCAGCTGTTATCCGTCCTGTGATCCGAGGCACAGTGACACAGTTTCTGAATGGGGTCACTTAGGCCTTCAATCTGCCGGCACCCACTCCCCTTATAGGCACCAATAAGCTACACCAAGGAACGAATACAGTATCCTGTCGAGGGGAAACAGAACAGAAACAGATCTGTATTAATTGCTATTAATATTGATGTTAATAATATTAATGGCGTAGCGGAATGGAACCTTGATGTTTACATCGATCTTCCATCAACTGAAGTAGTAAGGTGGCTCCATCTCTCTGCTGGCCCGTGGAAGACCCTTGGGCAAGGTCGAGTACCCACTTAGCCCCCCGATCTGGGTTAGATTCTTCTTCGTGAAGTTATGGCAGGAAAGTGACGGGTGAAATGTGTTGGGCAGCCAACAAAATGCCAACAAGGATCTTAAAATATAATTCTAATATTGATTATAACATTTTATTTATGGTAGCCAAAGATAGTTTTAGGAACTGGTCAGTTTTGTTTGTTTTTTCAAATTATGTGCCAGGCATGCAGAAGATACTGCTAGTACAGGGGAATGGCTAGGACAACAAGCTCAGTATATGCACTTTTTGGAACAGGTCAGTTGTTGGGGGGTTTTTTCAACTTATGTGCAAGGCAGAAGACACTGCTAGTAGATCTACAGGAGAATGGCTGGGACAACTAACTCAGTGTGAGCTCTGCCCCGAAAGAAAGTAATTGCAACCGGCATATTATTTATTTATCATTCTGTCTCATGTTCGGAATCGATGCCACGAAACATGTGCAACAGCAGCAGCAGCCTAGAGGTCCATGGACAATGAAGTGTTGTGTAGCCTCGATGGCAATTTTGGAAAACTATTATGCACGTTTAAGATGAACCATTGCCGTGCAGTCATGGCATTGAGAAGAATAGGACTGACGTCGTGGTGCTAGCGTGTCGTACGAGGCGACTAAAAGGCGAACCGAGTGACTCCTGAAACAGAGTCATTCTCCCTCTAGGTCGGGGGTTGAGAAACGAGGCTAACAACCTCTCTCGTAAAAAGAACGTATTACAGAAACACATACACGCAAACGTGGCAGGATAGAATAAGAAATAGAGCTGTGGGAATTAGAAATAGGACTAAGAAAGTGGAGATCGATGGGGCACACCTTCAGAAAGCCCAGCTTTAACGTCAAAAGACAGTCGCTGCAGTAGAAGCGACAGTGAGCACGAGGCAGGGGTAGGCCACGGGAAACATGGAGGAGATGTGTTGAAAGGGACATGAGAGAGATGAAGCTCACTTGGAACGAGCTGGGGGGCAGGACAGAGATAAATGGAAGGGGCTTGTATGTGGCGTATATTTTTTGTGATGTCAGCATTGATGATTAAGAGAAACCAGTCAATTATCTACGTGTTGCGTTTTAAAATGTGGTTAGTAGGCCTAGAGATCTAATTATATAAGGAACACACCCGTAACAACATTATAAATTACAGTGGAAATATTAATAATATTTATACTGAGTCGAACCAAGATTAGATCTCTACTAGCAGAACTGTAGAAATACCGAGGGTGCACTCTTGTGTAGTGCTGGGATGCACAAACTGGCGTGAGCGGGGAAAGGGGGTGTTCTAGGACTTGTAAGTAGTTTGTACAAATAGGCCTAAGCATATTAATAGCTTGTTCACTTTCGAATGTCCACTTGAAATATTTTTAAAAAATCTAGCTCATTTACCCAATTGGTAAATTTTACCAAAATCACATAATTTTGCATGCCTTTCCAGTGGACCAGCGACCTTCTTTTTTTTTTTTTAAATAGGAAACCTTGATCCACAATTAAAGTTTGTGCCCAATATTAGACACACCTCTTTGGGTGCCCGCACAGGATCAGAATAATGGCGACACAGTGAGCTCAGCGAGTCCGCTCAGCCTTCGTGTTCTTAAAGTGGGTGACGTCAGTCCGTGAGCTCTAGGCTAGTTTACAACGTCTTTGAGTTAGTAATTGGTAGTTACTTCCCTTGATACTTTCTTTTTCAGGAAGCAATGGCGCGATTTTGAAGAGAGAATTTGGAAAAGTACTACTTTCAAGTGAAGAGTATCAGGATTTGCTGAGTAATTTTGGTCTTATATATGATATATATTATGTCTTGACTGTTTGAACTTCTTGCTGTATCTTTGCTGTTGCCAGGTAAGGGATTAGATCTAATCTAGATCTAGAAGTCGAGAGCTAGATCTAGATTAGATCTACATAACAATCCTTAAAATTTTACAAGGCAAGGCCACTTCGAATCATGTGTAAGAGGCCTTCTTACCTAAGAATCTGAAAGTTGTGCATTTAATTTTAGATCATTTACATAATTATAAATTAGATTTAGAGTCTGGAGCCTTAGCCTTAGAGTCTCTTACACGCGCACACACTCACACACATGTACACACACACATTACAAATTACACACTTACAAAGATTTAGTTTAGATTTAGATCTAGATCTAGATCTAGATATAGATCTAGATTCTAGATCTAGAAATCTAGATCTAGATCTCTAGCCTCTAGATCTCTATACATTACAACAGAACAACAACGCAGTGACTACGTTCACGGGGTCTTGAAATCATCAACCATTGGCGGCACAGTGGTGAGATTGAAATACTACAGTTGCTCAAAGTGAATGAGGAAACAGCACAGGAATATTCGCACTCACTTGAAAAATAAATGCAGCTCTGTGGTCCGAATGAATGGAAAGGAATGCACAGCATAACAGCCGCTGTCAACAAGGGCCTCGCTCACTCAGTGCGCAGTACACAACTTCGATCCTCTTCCATGTTCAGACCCGGCAGTGCTTGACAATTTGAAAATAAAAGTCGTTTGAAGAAACATGGAATAATTAAAGGCCAAGGCGGGAAGAGGGGTGGGAGGGGGTGAAAAAAGAGTGCAAAAAAAGGGATTTATATGGGTATGGGATACATGCGGGGATAACTTTAGAATGACAGATATATGCCATTGGCCGATATTTATAGTAGCAGCCATCTCGACAGCTAACTAGGGGTATACATACGGTGGTTGTTTCCATAACCAAAATGGTCAAAATTTTCCAAATATTTTCATCATGGCGTTTTATATGAAGTATTCATATTATATCAGCATTTTGTTTTATTCTATAATATTCTATGTTAATTTTTGAGTGTTCGTTTTTTTCCCTGCAGGCTCTGCATCCACCCAAGAGACGTGGGAATCCGTCCACATAGTAACAGAGACGCTTGGATTACTTGGCTTGAAGAACAGTCTTTGAGACATTGATCAGCTGAAGGGAAATCTTTAGCCATGTGTACGTGTTGCCATTTGGAAAAGAAACCATGTCACATGAGTGTGAATTCCATTTTGTTAAAATGAAATTTTGGTTCATCCACTTGCAACTTCAAACTTACTTTTTAATTAATTTTTTTTTTTTTTTTTTTTTTTTTTTTCAGTGAATATATATATTGCTTTAGCAGTCTTCACAAGAAGCTTTTACTACAAAAATATTTTTATCCTGTACTATAACATTAGATAACATTGTCAGTTTATGGATGGGAATTTGGACTCCCATATTTTAATTTATTTTTTTTACTGTACTTCTTTTTCATCTTCAATTTTTTGGCTCATGGAGATGGTTGGTCCATGCTTTGCTTAATTCTCCCTTAATGTTTCCTCTAAAGTTGTTGTATATATAATAATATCAATAGCCTGTAATATACGTAAACTTGACGAGAGAACTTGCCCTGATTAGTTAATAATTTGATTGTGCTGATGGATTTGAAAAGTCATATATAGTGCATTCATTGTCTGCTCTTTTCCCCAGCTCGTCTTCACAGGAAACCTCAGCTAACTCGAGTGGAGAAATTAATCAACGGTTTAACAAAAGGACTTTCGGACAAAAGATTTGTGGTGAAGGAGGTTGCTGGCAAGGGGAGAAGTGTGTTTCTCTGTGTGCCCTTTATACGTAAAGATGCCTTTGTCTTGGAGTATGAGGGAGACTATATATCAGAAAAGGAAGCCTCGCAACGGGAGAAAATCTATGCCGCAAATAACGAAGGAAGCTTTATTTTGAACTTCAGATTTATGGTAAGCTGGGAAAATTGCAAATTTGTATAGTTTTAACACTGCTTGCAACACTTAAGATGTTTAAGTGACAGGACCTCTGAATTTGATGTCCATCTCTGAATGACTCAGTCAAATGGTGAAATTTGTGTGAAGTACCTTTCTCAAGGATACGTTAGATTTTGAGCTGAGCCTCTCACCCCTGAACCGACAATTTCATGGATACGAGTCCAGTTGACATACATACTATACTAATACTGACGCTACGTGTTTAAACTGCAATTGTTGCTCGTGTCATTTTATTTTGACGAAAGTCATCTTCATTCTAATTCTGTCTTTGCTTTGTTTTGTCATTTTATTTCACTCAAAAGAATTAACAATTTTGTGGAACATATATGAAATGTATCTTTTAGTTCTTGCCCAAATGTTTGTCTGTTTTTTTTTAGTTTCATCAAAATGGAACCAATCCAGAATGCAACATGGGGGCTCTCGTGGCCTAGAGGTTAAGGTGTTGGCCTCTCATTCAAAGGTCCCGGGTTCGAATCCGGGTAGCGAGCGAAAAATTTTCTTCTCTAAAATTGTCTCGTTTCACCTCATTTCCTGCTCTCTAGCAATATTCTGTCGTCTGCTTTCGTCTCCTCTTTCTGCCCCCACCCCCTCACCTCCCTTGCCCCCTGCTCTGGGCTCCTGACTCTTTCTGCAGCCTTTCTACTGTTACTCCTTGACTCCTTCTTACAGCTGTCTTTCAGCCACACCCCTGATCTTCTGGTAGGAAAGATCTACACCTAGCCTTCTCGGACAAGGTCGAAAAATCTCGGAGGGCCCGTGTGCAAGTTGCGCACGTTAAAGATCCCTTGGTGGTCTAAAATCTATAAGAGTAGGCTTCGGCCGCCACCCAGGCAAAATTTAAAATTTCCTACCAACAAAAAAGTATTACGTGTGTCCCGCGCGCTCATATGTCCTTATGCAGTTGCGAGCGCCGTAAAACCCTATACTAAACTAAACTAAACTAAAAATGCAACATTTCAGTTTGAGATGATATGATATGATTACATTTCAAGTGCACCGCCACAGTGGAAACTGTTAATGGAAGGTAGTATAGCAGTAAATAAAAAAGGTAGGGGATTATTTCAGTTCAAGCAGGTCTAAAAACTTGAAACCGATCGTACTAAAATTTGACGTCATCATCAAAGGTACTTTAGGCTGTGCCTTGTTTTATTCCTTGCCTCAGTAACTGAAAAAGTCCTGGAAAATATGAAAACAAATAATATAATGCGTCTGAAAATGAATCCACAAAGTGAACCCAAAAAAATCATACTGATCTTACTAGACGTAATTGATTTCTTTTTGCTGGGTGGGCTTACTTCCTTTTCCTGCAGTGTTTTCATCTTCTTTATCACTTTCCTGGAAACAAAATCTATATATATATGTACACTGTTTTTGACATCAGGGAAAAAAGATGGCAATTGATGCCACTCGCCGGTTCGACTCCTTCAGTCGTCTGCTGAATCACTCCATTCGTCCAAACATCCGATTTCATCCTCCTCTGGTCACCGATGTTGTCTCGGGGGTGCCCCGGATTGCAGCTTATGCCCTGCGGGATATCCACAAAGGAGAGGAATTGACCATGGACTATGGCATCGAAAGAGGAAATATGTCTTGGCTTCATTGTGAGGTAAGGAGCTGACTTGTTATAAGTGAGATTATAAGAGCGTACATAAACATTACATTGGGTTGCTTTTCAGAAGAAAGAAATAAAAGTAGGCATTTGAAATATTTAATAACCATACTTTTATTTCTCAAATTTGAATGTGTTGAGTCACAGAAGTGTGTATTATAGACCTATAGTTGTGCTGGTGTCTAATCTCTGAACATAATGTGTACACAAGAAGGAGTTTCATTCTGAAAACATGTCATTTTGGGACTTTTGTTACTACTGTGGTCTTCCAAGTGTTAGTATTACAACTCTTTTTTTTTGTTTTTGTTTTTTTGTTTGTTTGCTTCACTTAAAGATTTTTTGGACTGCCTTCTTAGTAAAAGTAATTTAGGCAAACAAGCAGTGGTTCTGACATCCATTTTGAAGAATAAGCAAAGCATGGACCAACCATCTCCATGAGCCAAAAAATTGAAGATGAAAAAGAAGTACAGTAAAAAAAAAAAAAAATTTTTATGGGAGTCCAAATTCCCATCCATAAACTGACAATGTTATCTAAAGTTATAGTAGAGATAAATATTTTTGTAGTAAAAGCTTCTTGTGAAGACTGCTAAAGCAATTATTCACTGAAAAAAAAAATAATTAAAAAGTAAGTTTGAAGTTGCAAGTGGATGAACCAAAATTTCAGGTTAACTGAATGGAATTCACACTCATGTGTGACATGGTTTCTAATACAGTTTTTTTCTTTTCAGGGAAGTGCCCACTTAAGTTCTATTGACCTTAGCTCAGAGATGGAACCCAACGACGACACTCTTCCAGACTGCGACATGTCTTTTTCAGTATTTCAACCATTGCTGTCTCCCAGAGATTCGTCGAGCAAATGTGTTTCACCTTCTTCCTTCTCAAGCAACAACAGTTTTACCCCTTGCATGATGGAGGAGCAGGTAGGCCACAGATACAACTGACAGTAAGCAATTAGAGTTGGGGGGGGGGGGGGGGGGGGGGGGTTAAGGTGCAGTATACATCTTACAACTAGTCTACAGGAAAAGAGAATTATTGTGCCTGTCATTTTTAAGGCAACTCCAAACTTCTCAGAAGTCTAATGGGATGTAGGAGGTCTGAAAGAGAAATGATTTGTGCCTGCCAGTAGCTAAACAAATGAGTATGAAGCTTCTTTTGCCATTTTATACTTTTTCCACGTTCCCACATACCAATAACAAGCATAAAAATGTTTAAAAACTTTTTGTAGTTGTTTTAGGACAGTTTTTTTTTCCCCTTAAGGTGTTTAGGTGTTTTTCAGCTGCCCTTCTCGATTTACTTTTTTTTCACAAGCTTTCCCTCGGGCTTCAATATATGTGTGTGTGCCTGGGGAAAGATACCAAAAATGACGCATTTTGAAGAATCCCTCTTCTTTTTTCTTTTTTCATGTCCAGAGATCATTTCTGAACAATATGCTTTATGAAGTTTTATGATTTTGCTAGTAGTTTTTAAGATATGGGTCATTTTGTAAGGCAAATATTTTTAGAAAAACGGCTTTAAAGTTTCCCCTTTGTTTTTGCTTCAAATAGATAATCTACCTGCACTTCGAGACGACCTGATAGCACATTCGCTTCTCACAAACCAACTTTAAATAGCAGCTAAGATAAAAGAACTGCTTCAAAGTGTTTATATTATGTCTTCAAAACAAATTCACCACCACTTTGAGCAAGAATTTTCAAGAAATAGATCAAGTTTTGCGTAGGGGAAAAATGAGCGATACAAATTTGCTCTCCAAAGAAACGAAAAGGTGTGGATGCTCGAAGCTTTGCTTTGTTTAGGCTACATGTTCTAGATATTCCTGCGCACTACCTGCCATTAGAGAGGATAGAGAATGACCTAAATTTTTATATGCATTGTGATTGTGATTGGGTCGACTTTATAAATGGACAAGAGAAACCATCCACAGTGTTTACTCGGAAAACCAATTTTCTCACACATTTTTGGGGGATTATGCAATAGTCCTTGTGTTAAATAACATCTTAAAAAATTTATTTTAAAGTAAAAGAAACTCAAGTCTTTGTAAATATCGATATATTAATGGCTAACGAATCCATTTTTCATTGAACTTAGTTTTTGTCAAAAAATCTATTTTTTGACCTTTGAAGCCTGATATCTCGGTTCAAACAAATACGTCTTTTGGTACCTTTCCCCGGGCCCACTCACATATCTTTATCTAGTGACTCTCACTTTGCCTTTTCCAGTTCAACTTGACATCCCTTGAAGTTCAGAAACTATGGACCATATTTGGCGATTTCATACAAGCTGAAGACAGTGGTCAGTTGACAGAAGAACAGGTAAATTGTTTTGTTTGCTTTTTTTTTACTTGAGGGCCTTCAAGGCAAATCTTTTTCGCCCTTCCCTTAACTTTGGAAGCTCTGTTTACAACAAAATACAACAATGTTTTAAAGGTTTTCACTTACTAAAACTTGGCTTTTTAAGTTAAGCCAAAGAGCTGCTGGATTTATGAGAACTGGACTCATTTTTAAAATCAACTTGCTTAATTTCCTGATAATAGTACTTTATATGTGAGGCAGCGTGGCGGAATCAGGCTCTCGTCAATTTTTGGGCATGTAGAGTTATTGGTATCATCTTAAAGCTTGTTCACTTGTCTTTATTTGGATGAAAAAAATCCATTTATCTTGAATACCAGTCGAGATATTTGCGAAAGAAGGAGGTGGGGGTCACCTGTTTTCAGAGGTAAAATTAGTGAGAAAGGGGCCGCCAAAGATTAGTTATTTCCATAGCTTAAGAGTCCGTGGTAACTGAAAATTTACATTTTTTGTGCCTTTAATCAACATTTTTCAGAAAAATCCGAACAGAAATGAGTTCTTTAATGGGCATGAAAGGTGTTCAGCCAAAAAATGAAAATTTGATACCTATTCAGAAACATGCGGAAAAATGCAAGTTTATTCACTTTGATTATTTTGACGAGAGCCTGATTCCACCACGCTGCCTCACATACACTAAACAGGGCAAGAAAATTTTTGTCCCTCTCACTTCAGGATTTCAAACATTCTCTTGGTTGTCAAGCTCAATTTTTATGCTAACCTTTAGTGGGTTTTTTTATATTTTGCCGTGATCCATTTCTATGCTGCTGGAATTAGCATGTAGGGAAATGTTCCAACTTAAGGCTCCTCCGCTCCTCCAGCTGTTGGTTTTGAATTCTGCCTTGGCCTTGTGTGTTTGTGTTGAGGGATATTATATATATATATTATAACAGACTGGAACGACAGTGCATCTGTGCGAGATGCTGCATATATATATATATATATATATATACTGTACAAAAATGTCTGTGCTCACATGTTGCCTCTTTGTGTGACATACATACGTCTGTCCATGATCCCTGCCTGTTATTTCAGACTGCTCTTCCTTTTGGTATGATCTAGTTTTATAAAATCTAGCACTAAACTTGTTAGAATAAATAAATATGTGAGGCAGCGGGGTGGAATCAGGCTCTCGTCAAAATAATGAAATCAAAGATATTGGCATTTTTCTGCATGTTTGGCAATTTTGATCAAATTTTTGTTCTTAAGCTCAACAGCTTTTATGTCAATTTAAAAAGACAGTTCTGTGTGGATTATCCCGAAAAACGTTGATTAAAGGCACAAAAAATGTAAATTTTCAGTTTTCAAGGACTCTCACGCATTGAAAGATACCAAACTATGGGGGTCATTTTCTCCCTTATTTTTCCTCTGAAATCAGGTTACCCCACTGACTTCAATCATAAATATTTCGACTTCTATTAAAGATAGATGGGTACTTTTTTAACCGAAAGATAGACAAATGAACAAGCTTTAAGATGACACCAATAACTCCACATGCCCAAAAATTGAAGAGAGCCTGATTCCACCACGCTGCCTCACATATAAATTCTGCCTCTGTTATGTTTCTTGTGGGCAGTCAGTGGAGGGCAAATGCTCGCAAAAAAAACAACTGCACCAACTGACAGTAGAGAATGAGAAACCACTGCTGTAATCTCCCAAGAAAAGTCATGAAAAGCCAAATTCATTTTGAAGATAATGGCGTTAAGGGGATTTATGATCCAGCTCTGACCTCCTCGTTTAGGAGGGATTGCCACCACAGGCAACAGATGTTGCCCAATTGTCATCCAGCTACTGGTTGCAAATGTGAGGCAGCGTGGTGGAATCAGGCTCTCGTCAAAATAATCAAAGTGAAGAAACTTAAATTTTTCCGCAGGTTTGTGAATTTTTATAAAAATTTTGTTTTCTGGCTCATCACCTTTCATGCCCATTAAAGAACTCATTTCTGTGTGGATTTTTCTTTAAAAAGTTGATTAAAGGCACAAAAAATGTACATTTTCAGTTGCCACGGTCTCCTAAGCTAAGGAAATTAACTAATCTTTGGAGGCCATTTTCTCACTAATTTTACCTCTGAAAACAGGTGACCCCCACCTCCTTCATTTGCAAATATCTTGACCTGTATTCAAGATAAATGGATATTTTTTTTCTTCCAAATAAAGACAAGTGAACAATCTTTAAGATGATACCAATAACTCTACAATCCCAAAAATTGACGAGAGCCTGATTCCACCACGATGCCTCACAAATTGAACATCTAGCTTTCACTGGTAAAATTGAAGGCAAAGGAGGTAGGGGTAGACCCAGAGCAACTTAGTTGAAGAGCTTTAGCGGATGGTTGACAGGGAAAGACCATAATAATAATGTAGTCTTTTTGTTTTTCAAAGCATCTGAGTAAAGAAATGAATGGCGAACCATGATCACCAATGTTCTTCATAGATCTGGCACTTTGATGATGATGATGATGGTGATGAGTGTTCCCAAGTTTTGTATTGCCGTATTTTCTTACAGGTGTATCACAAGATTTAGGCTAGAAAAGTCTTGTGTGGTGTTTGTGTCCTGGCAGTGAAGGAAGTGACTATGAAGCATGCTAGAAAAGTAGTACATCTTACTGCCAGTTTTTCTTTCATCTACGCTTTCTCTTACTTGTGAGAAATCTCAGAAATTTGTTTGAGGTTTTCTTCCTTTCATCTCTGTACTCCTCAGGTGTTGTCAAGGATAGAAGATCATCAGCATTTCTTCCTGCTTCTCTTGAAAAAGGGAAACTCCATCAATCAGATAAGGAAAATTGTCAAGCATTTGTTCAACGCCCCCCAAGTGTGTCGATCCTGATTAGTTTATTGCAGGTGTCTGTTGATAAGGAAAATTGTCAAGCATTTGTTCAACGCCCCCAAAGTGTGTCGATCCTGATTAGTTTATTGCAGGTGTCTGGAAATGTGACTTAAAGTGAACTTGAGGCCTCCATTTGGAACTAACTTGACCTAATGCACACATCTGGAATCTTCAGTCTCTATATGACCAGATATGGGTTGCCGTGATGTCATGTGCACAAGACAATTTCAAGTTAGTTTAAGAAAAGTACACTTTTACCATAATGTAGATATTGATCGACGCCTGTGAATATCTGTGTTAAATATGAAATAGTAAATATAATATTTCAATTATTCTTTACTTAAAGCATTAGTAAGTATTCTGTGTTCTATTGTTGGGTATCTCCTGAAAAGGGTGCCATTTGTGCTTTCCTTGTTACAGGTACCATCGACACAAAAAGGTTTCTAATTGTTGGAAATTTTGGAAACATTGCCGATTTTTTCCCCCTTCCATTCTTTCTCTGCCATGATTGTTTGAGGGAATGTATCGCTATTTATGATGTTTTTACATCCAACTGAAGACTTAAGATTACAGTGGAACTCGGATTTAACGAGCTCGTATTCAACGACAACATCCAACTGAAGACTTAAGATTATTGGAGCAGCTGTTAACAAAAAGCCCTGACAACCATGCAAATCCATATATATATTGTCAAGCATTTGTTCAACGCCCCCCAAGTGTGTCGATCCTGATTAGTTTATTGCAGGTGTCTGTTGATAAGGAAAATTGTCTATTATATAAATTATATATACGAGGGCTGTCCCACGGAAAACCGCAAAAGGTCAGTAAAAGCAAAAATCTTTGTCCTATTATGATAAAACTGTAACACATCATACCTCAACGTGTTTTTTATTTCTCAATGTAATCACCATCCCGCTGGACACATTTTTCCCATCGCTGGATATGGGAGAAGATACCCTCCCTGAAGAATCTTTCGTCAAGGGATTTCAACCAATCGTTCACGGCTTCCTCGAGGACTTCGTCGTTGGTGAATCGTTGTCCAGAAATATGGCGTTTCATTGGTTCAAAAAGGTGATAATCTGACAGGGCCAAGTCAGGACTGTGAGGGGGATGTAGTAGAACTTCCTAGCCGAACCTTTGGAACCGGTCTTTCGTGACGTTTGCGGTGTGTGGCGTTGTGTTGCCATGCTGCAAAATGACCCCGCTGGTCATTTTCGGCCCCAACCCATCAAGCAGAGACCTTTCAATAGTGCAGCTCATCAAACTCTATCCTATAGACA